TTTTGTCTCTTGCAGTTTTTCTGTAAAGTTGATAGTATTTGAGTAAAAAATTATTCAAGACTAATATTTTGCAATTTTTAGTAATTAATATCTTGTTATAACTATTGCGAAAATTGCAAAATAGTAGACAACTTTTCGACTCAGTTTAGTCCGCTCTATCTACACAAAAGTGATTAGCAAAAAAGGTCGGGACACCCTGTATATATATATATTTCTGCATTTTTAATAAATTGTCAAAACGATTAAATCATCTGCTAGGTTTTACGGTTCTGAATAATGAATTATATTTCTCTCTCTCTTACACATTTGGAGCTACGTTACCAACTTCTATCTTCTTGCACAACTTGGGATACTTATTGTATTTGGCGTAATGGTAATCGGTATATTCGAGAATGATAGTTTCGAGATCAATATTGTCGCACACGTGAATGTCTCGGGAGAGTTGAGCTTCTTTGAAGAGACTTTCCGCGGTACTGGAATAACTACGAGGAACAAATCGATGTAATATGTATAATTTTTGTTTTATAACTATTTATGTTATTACATAAAGTTTGCAGTACTTTTTGAATGAAAGAATTATGTAATATAATAAAATTGATTAATAATTGTTTAAAATATTGAAACGTTTATAATTGAACTCGCATAGAAATTTTCAAGTTTTTATTATTTAAGTTATGTAAGATTGAAGTTTTTGACCAAATATTTACTCACTCATGGTATTATTATTCTTTTTATATTTATTGTTTGTATGAATATAACACACGATTTTAACATTAATGTTTAATTGATATATGTATATGTATTTCAAATAGTTGAGAGTATTAATTAAACAAGTATTAAACACAAATATAAATTTTTGCTCACCCTTGTTCTCGTAAAAAAGCAGCAATAAGATAAACGAGATGACGCCGACGTTCTTGGATACGTTTTTCCACCTAATTTACAATTAACTGTATTATAATTAATATGTATTCATCATTGAATTCATAATTCAATATATTTACTCCTTTGATCATACAATTTGAATATCATAATTGATTTTTAGATCTGAACTTATGGAGTAATTCGTTTATGCATCATTATCGATCATTATAGTGATTATTAATTAATGCTTCGGTACTTTCGGAATCTAAAGTTAACATGATATTTTTTTCAATCAGCGCACTGTATCGGTACACTGAGAAAAATAGTCTGGTTGGATTAAACGGTAACTCTGGTGGAAAATGGACGAATCAGAATTTTCTGGTTATGTCTATTAGAATTCTAATTGAGAGATAACTAGAATTCTGATTAATATAATTATTCTGGTAAAAATAAGAATTCTAGTAGATTTTACCAGAAATATAATATCAACCAGAATTCCGGTTATCTCAACTAGAATTCTAATAAATTTAACCAGAAATTTCTGATTCGTCCATTTTCAACCAGAAATTTTTTTCAGTGTAATCATATAATTGCTAATGGTCATCATGATCGACTGAATAATAAAGTCGAATACTATACATATTTTTATCGATTGATTTAATATTACACAAGCTTTTATTTTTAATTTCTCTCACGTGTTTTTCGCGCACAAATGTACCACTGCCGAAAGGCACCAAACTATCTTGGAGTTTTGAATCGAATGCATAAATACACTCGATATGGGTTCCGACTGTTCCGAGTTATGAAGCGCATGCTGCATCATTTGTCCTTGTGTTCATCGAACAATAAAGAAGGATAAAACGATAAATGTACATCACGCTCTTCATGCGTAACTCGGAACGCACCCATAATCTTGTCTAAATTCCAGAAATGGCTGAAATCACTCTGAGAAAAAACACCCAATTCCAAATTACATGAATTTATCCTTACCTTTTCGTGCGCCAAATGAGCGACTCGTCCGGCTGTCGCGTTCAACGACAAGCAGTCGTTCATGACCCTTGCTCGGAAGCCAAAGATTGTCGGAGGATATCGAAGGATCCTTTCCCAGCACAAGACCAATGTTATTATTCTTTCGCTTATCGCTTATGTTCCTTCGGTTGGACAATGCACTTTTGAGGCTTGAAATACAAGCCGGTAGGCCGGTACAAGACGGTAGACGATATGAAAGTATCCTACGGTTGCCATAGCAATGCGCATTCTCATAATTTACCGTAGCGGAATTAGACACTTAATCGCTTTAATTCTCTCTCTCCAACGCTCAAATATGTATTTAATTTCACCCATTTTATAAATGCAAAAATTTGTTGGGATTTCGAGCAACGCGAACGAACCTCTTTTAAGAAAAGTGAGTCGCGCTAACAGACTTTCGGGGCGCTTTTTGATTGGTTGTGCCGCATATTATGCGCAATACAACACCTTGTCTAATTTTGCCATGTAATATATAATGATAATTTACAATCAGTAATTCTCATCAAAGACACGATATAAAAAGTTACCAAGTAAATTAATCAAAGAGATGAAAGTATCGAACTTACACGTTGAATCACAAGCGTTAAGTGAAGTGCAGTAAAATACGATTGTGATCGCGCGTCGCGTGCAAGAAAGAATAATGATAAATCAGTAGCGATGGAGAGATGACGGTGAAATGAATCTGAGAGAATACAATATACATATATAACTGTGCATGGAGAGAATTTTTTCTTGGAGTTTACCCTGAAAATATGATAATCGTGGGACAACATTGTATTTCGAAGAATTTTAATGTAAATCTCTCTCATTCATTAATAAAACTACAATAAAATATAAAATAAGTTTGATCAATTTTACTGAAGTGCATGGTAAAAATCTTTAAAATATTCTATTGTATATTTTCAGGTTAAATTTTATAAAAGAAAATTCTCTCCTTGTGAACGGAAATTAATAGCTAATTTCATTGACCCAAGTGTGATATACTACTTACCTACATGACCGTAAAAAATTAAAATTCTATCAAAATTATCTACACATTTATTTTACATTAATGATTATAATTACGAGACTGCGGAACTTTATGCAAAATACTTAACCGAATATTAACTATCGGACAGTTTTAGCAGTCAATCGTTGTTCGTTAAAGAGTTATTAAAAGGTGAAGTAAAAAGATTGAGATTGCCATCTGTAAATTTACAAAATTGCAAAATATGCATTTTATGCAAAACATTCAGTTAAGTATTTTGCATAAAGTTCCGCAGTCTAATAATTACAGTTTATACATTTCTTAATAATATTCTAAAATTTAGTTTAGCTCCATAAACGCCTTATCACATTTTCAATTTTAGAATAATTCATTATATTATTGGTTTAATCGATTTTAAGTTAAGAAAATATCTCGCGCAAACTTCGGGATTGCCTTTAAGCCTGCAGTTGCGTAAATCTCTAATATTTGTGGACATCCTACGTAGCAAATTGCAGGCCAAGTTTCATTCATTCATGTGCGATTCCACAGTATTTTAAATTTATAATTTTAAAATTTGATATGTGCTTCTTTTCTTTATCCACCCAAGTAGCACACAGCGCTTATAAAGCATTAAATAAAGCGCATACAATCGCTTTTTTAGCGCTTTGCAAGCGCTGCTGTGCTACTTGGGCATTTAATTCGCGATGTCATTAACTGAAATATGTATAAATTAGCTTTACCAGAGTAACTAATAATTGCAACAGGGTATCTTCTTTTAAAAGAAAAATTTCCCAACTATTTTTCATTCGCTCCAACTAGATTTACGTGATCTTATATAATCAGCTTATATCTCCAAATGAATCACTTTAATTGTTATTGCAATCCAAATTGCAAAACGTGATTTTGCGATAGCGACTGCAACGAATGCGCTTTTTTGTAGACGTTAGCAGCGACGACGATGATGACGATAACGGTAGCAGGAGGTACGTTATCCTACTATAGGAGTGGCTTCGTTGCAGCATAGCGAGAAAGAGAGAGAGAGAGAGAGAGAGAGAGAGAGAGAGAGAGAGAGAGGGAGAGGCGATGCGCGAAACGTATTCGATCGACCCGTATAAGAGGAACGAGCTTGTACTGCGACAGAGTTCAGTCAGTCGGTCGGTGCCGCTACCAATCGCGCCGCATCGCGTCGACCCTCTTGGAGGTTTCATTACAAACACGCAGTCGGTACGTTCGATTGCATCTCTTTTCTTTTTTCTCTTTTTTCTTACTTCCTCTATCTTGTCATTCTAAACGACCGATTTCTTGCCTTTCGCGGAATAGATTAGAATTTGGTACATTGGTTTAATAAAAAAATTATTTGTGCGATACACCCTTCTCATCTCCATTGAAGAAGGGAAGAGCACTGCATGTGCATACGAAACAGCAACCTCCTATCTTACAAGAAGCGATGTAAAGCAGACGATTGGCGGAGCAATGTAGTATAAAGGTAATGCACAACCCTTTTTCCCTCTCTCTTTCCGTAGCATGTATCATTATGCGGATTTACTTCCGGCCGGTCTGGATAACTGATAGCCACCCGTTGCATGGTGAACCTGTGAGTTGGTCCCGCTGTGTCAGATGTAGGCTGATTACAAGCGGTTCACCCAGAGTTTGACGTCATCCCTATGTGCTCTGCTCATCGACAAGCAGAGCACAGTAATTCAATACCGGATACGAGCGGCGTGTCGTTGACATTTTCACGCAGTTCCTGGGATTTTATATTCCTTTAGTCTTTATCTTCCTTATCTTTCTTTTCTTATGAATTCAAGAATATAGGCTTTTTCATTTCATCCGATTTACACATTGCTTCTTTTTTCTAAAAAATATTTTTAATAGATACACCTAGTAAATGAACCGCTTATAGTTACAAATATTAACGTTTAATGGTTTAATGCATTAAAAAGATGAAGAAAAAGAGACAAGTTTGCATGCTTCAATAATTCTATATTATACTAGTATCACTATTCAGTCCCAATTCATAAGTAAATTTTAAACCGAGCATTACGTTAGAATAAATAAATGAATACTAGTATTTTATTATTAACATCAAAATCTTTAACAAATTTATGTTACAGTATATACATATATAAATCTGAGATTATCGTATTTTAAACCGAGCATTACGTTAGAATAAATAAATGAATACTAGTATTTTATTATTAACATCAAAATCTTTAACAAATTTATGTTACAGATTTATATACATATATAAATCTGAGATTATCGCATATATACATACAGATATACATACATTTACGTCCCGAGGCAAAATTCCATTTGTGCATACTTTTTAAAGGTTTATATTTAGTAGCAATCATAAATTTTAATATAACTATAGCTTCATTGAATAATTTTATGGTAACTTTGCAAATTTAATCAACTATCATATTATAATTACATTGCAAGGAAGATGTATAGACAGCTAAACCATTCAATATTTTAGTATTTTTTATTTACGGAAAAGAAACGAGGCTGAAACTAAACGATGTTGAAACTAGTCACGAATTCTAAAATTTTTTAGAAATTTACTTAACAAAATACATATACAATGCATAATATGATTTCAATTGTTTTAATTTTATGTAGATACAAATTTATATCTTACGATTTGAATTTTGCAAATTTTTTTTTCTGTACGATATACGTATATTAGAAAACCAGAAAAATTGATTGGAAATCCTTTATATAATATTGCTTTTTCTGTACATACATATATATACATATATACGTAAATAAAAATATTTTGTATTGCTTATTAGTTATTTATACATCTGTTATAATTCTAAGGTCAGTACTTACATGTAAAGTAATTTAGCATTAATAATGAATTTCCTGAAATATATCTTTTTAACATTTTCAGAACATGATTGGATTAACAAAATAACAAAATTTTAATTAAAAAATTGTTACAATCTGTAAATATAACTTTTGAATAGTAATTTATACCAGCATATATATTTATTTACATTTTCGTATTTGCAGTATTTGTAAACAGGAATTTTATTTTAGAAAATAGAAATTAAACTATGTATATAGATTTTTAAATCTCTCTCTTTCTCACATTCTCGAATTAAAATAAATCCGATTGATGCAGTTAAAAAAACTATTTGACGTACACTGAGAAAAAAATGTTGTTGATTTAATTAAAGTCTATATTACGGGCTGTCACTAACATAAGTGATTAATTCAAGTATATTTTTGTTGATATAAAGGCCTTAATTATTAAAATAATAATTTATGCTTTTATATAAAAATATACATGAATCACTTATGTTAGTAACAGCCCGTAATATAGACTTTAATTGAATCAACAGCATTTTTTTGTCAGTATACATATATATATATTCTCAATGTTTGTGATTTTACTTTAATTTATTTTATTGATTTATATGGATATAATAGAAAAAAGCATATAAAATAATATAATTAGAAGACAATTCGGGCGATATTTACTATCGATTGAAGCTATAATATATACACAATATTTAAGCGCGATAAAGTTTGTCTTTGCATATACGGATCCTGCAGATCGCGCGTCAGCTTTGAAGAATTGTTATGTCGACAATCGATTCACGAAGACTTTATACTTACATTTCACGTGTGACCTTACCCAACTACAAAACACACTTGTAATTTCAATAAATTCTCTATAGATTACGAAAATAGACTTTACACCAATCAATCATATATTTCTATCATTCATAAAAAATGGAAAATTCCCACATATGTACATACAGCATTGAATAGTGTATTTACCAAAGTTTATACTTATTAACTTCAAACTTTACTTTGGCACAACGAACAACAAAGTTCCGAAGAACCACTCAACCGAGGTGGACGTGTTCCCTCTCGTCTTGGGTATTGCGTCACCTCGACTATATTTTTAAAAAGCGTTGCCGGCTTGGACTGTGCCGTTATATTCAATTTCGATAGTCCCTTTATCCGTCTTGGCGTGCGGCCGTGCGTCGTGGAAGCGTCGTAGTCGCAGACGTCCAGTGTTTGAAGGGGCGCCCCAACATTTTGATTGCATCATCCTTTATTTTACCTGCCCGGTTCGAGGTGGCCGGTGCATAGCACTCCTATTCACGATTAGCTTCAATTTACGCAGACCTCAATGGCCTAGTCACAACCTTGGTTGCCTGGCCAAAATCAGAAGAAGAAGAAGAAGAAGCACAACGAACAAGTTCAAGAACGCTACTTGATACATTGCGCCGTTCAAATCTCTTATATATAATGCATATTTGGCAAATGGGATTTTCATTGCGTTGAAATCGTCGATTACAATTAAATCGCGAATGACTTGAGTCTCATGTAACTTTCAAGGGTGACAAAAAAGTTTGCTGATAAAAAGTTGAATGCGAAGCTTTTTGGCGAGGAAATCTCGCCAATTTTGGAAATTCTGACTTTAATGAACGAGTCCAGAAAGTTCCAATCGATAAATAGCAAATGGAAAATCTTAAATTTATTCTCGCACATGTATAATCTAAAAAAATAACCATAGTACTCTAAATGATGGCTTATGCTTTACATAGGAAATTATATATAGGTAATCATAAGAAATTGCGAATAAAATCATTATAATTTAAAAATTAAAATCATATGTTCTCTATATTATGTAACGATTCATCGCAATTACGCAGTATGTAATATTCCGCATGCGTATAATTTCAATGCAGTTATCAAGCTGTTCTGCGTTTCTCGCGAATTTCTGATTTCCGCAATATATATGCGCGCGTCAAGAATTCCGTCGTAATCGGACTTTGAGGCCGAGACGACAATTATCGCGCGGTTACGATTCATTAGATGAGGCCCACGCGAGATTGATCTAATACGATGACAAATGTATCCCCTGATTCTTTCGCGCGTAGGCACCATGTTCCTGTTGCTGTCAGTGCACGGAAGGAGGCAGTAGCCAAAGGCATTCTCTGATCCCTACCGAGAGACTACCTTTCGATACAAGCACATTCAACTTTTTTCCAAGTAAACATACTGCGGATCATGAAGAGGCCCTCCATCAGCAAGACATTTATGTGGACGTTTTGCCTGACCATCCTTTTATTTCTGCCGACGAGAACAAGTAAGCGACACAAAAATACTATAAAATCGATATACAATTGTCATTAAAAGATCTATGCTTAAAGTAATTTTTATTATTTGTTAGTGACAAATAGCGAACAGTAGCTATACATAGCACGCCAAAGTATGATCGGTATAGAAATAGTGACCGAATCGAGGAGGTAACCACTCTTGAATCCCGGTGTACGACCTACTGTCAGAAGTTCGTTGAATTTCTCCAAGTCCGATGAAGTCCAATGAAGTCCGATGAATTCCGCGCGATGAAGTGAAATCCGGCGAAGTCCGATGAAGTCCGGCAAAGTCCGTCGAAGTACGTTAAATTCCGGTAAAGTCCGCGATAGTCTGTGAAGTCCGATGAAGCCTTAAAGTCCAAAATCCAGGTATACACCTGTTTTCTGAATGGTTATCTCCTTGGACTAAATGATTCGAGTGCGGAATAATATGCGTCTTGAGAGAGAGAGAGAGAGAGAGAGAGAGAGAGAGAGAGAGAGAGAGAGGAATGGGAGAGGAGGAAGAGAAATATCTCTGGATAAAAATGTCTACAAGATACTGCCCGGTATACTTTTCAATTTTATTATTTTTAGTATTTTTGAATATATATATAGGGGGAAGTCGCCTATATCGTACCCCCTAACGTTTAAACAAAATTGTAAACAAAAGTACTGAAGATATCAGAATATTTCTGTACTTATATTAAACTTTGGTTCATTGGCAATAAAACAAACCGATACTTTTGCGAAAATAAACATTAAATTATTGTTTAAATTAGATTTTAAAAAAGGTAGCTTTCGATACGATTGGAAGACCAGGTCGTTACATTGTACCAACTGGTTCCTAAATCGTACTTCTAATACAGCAAACAAGCTGACATTACTTATTGCCATTTTGACAAAATAACATCTTTAACGTCAAAATGACGATAAATAACGTCAGTTTGTTTACTGGGAAAATAAACAAAATTAATTTTAAAACTCATTTATTAATAAATTTATTTTTAATTTTGAACTAAACATACATATTTAAGTAGGTATAATAAAAACTTTTCTATTATAAAAACAGAAATTAGACTCTGCGTTTTTTAAACTCATTTAGGAAAACAAAATAAAAAGCAATACTTAAATTGATTTAAGCTATCATTGCACTATATTTCAGAATATTAAAATGTCAGATATTTTGAAAAAATAAATTTTGGGAATAAAATCAATTACGGATTTTTCCGTCACAACAGAAAAGATTCAATAGAAAGACTCAATAGAAAAAATTAATAGAAAGACTCAATAGTTGATAAGTAATCAGTGATTATTAATCACTTTCTTGAGCGTTTATTTAAACAGTTTTGGTAAACGTCAGGATTGTCACTACAGGTTTCGTGCAACCATTTAGAGCACCTGACACACTGAATCCAATCCACCATACGTCCTTTTTTATTATAATAGTAACCTCACCGATGTGAACCTGGAGCCCAACTTTATCAAAAATAAAAATTAATACCATAGGGTGTTTGTACTTCGTTTGTACCCGTTTGTACCTCCCTTATTTTCGTTTGTACCCCAAACAGTTAAACAAAAAATGAAATACAAAAAATGGCCAGCGCCCAACTTTAATATCTTTTAATTTCATTTATGCCATTCGAAAGAGAATCGTTTGTACCCGTTTGTACCTCCCTTACTTTCGTTTGTACCTCAATGGGTTCGGAGATATATAGGGGTTGCGCAAAAATTGAAAAGCGCTGTATCTCCGAACCCTTTGAGATACAAACGAAAGTAAGGGAGGTACAAACAGGTACAAACGATTCTCTTTCGAATGCCGTTGATCCCATTTCGATATCTTTAAAAATGGCCAACTTCCCCTCTTGGCGTATTTCCGAAATTTTGAAATCGCTGTATCTCCGAACCCTTGAAGGTACAAACGAAAGTAAGGGAGGTACAAACGATTCTCTTTCGAATGCCATTGGTTCCATTTCGATATCTTTAAAATTGGCGAATTTCGCTATATAGGTGTTGCGCAAAAATTGAAAAGCGCTGTATCTCCGAACCCTTTGAGGTACAAACAGGTACAAACGATTCTCTTTCGAAGGCCGTTGGTCCCGTTTCGATATCTTTAAAATTAGCGAATTTCGCTATATAGGGGTTGCGCAAAAATTGAAAAGCGCTGTATCTCCTAACCCTTTGAGGTACAAACGAAAGTAAGGGAGGTACAAACAGGTACAAACGATTCTCTTTCGAATGGCATAAATGAAATTAAAAAATATTAAAGTTGGGCGCTGGCCATTTTTTATATTTCATTTTTTGTTTAACTGTTTGGGGTACAAACGAAAATAAGGGAGGTACAAACGAAGTACAAACGCCCTATGGTATTAATTTTTATTTTTCAAGTTGGGCGCCAGGTTCACATCGGTAGTAACCTCGACATATTGCTCGCGTCACTTGCGAAAATCGTATTAGGTACAATATAAAGACCAGCGACAAGTACGATTTACCCAACTCCTTCTATTTTTACACATTTGCCAATAGCAACATAACTTACAAATATCTTGCTAATTTGATGCTATACTCGAAAAGAGTTTAAATATCAATTATAACCCTATAGGACACTATAATTCAATTACCCACCTTGTACTGATAACACTTCAGGTAAATTGTATCAAAACTTAGATCAGACACCGAACAAAATCAATTTTTAATGTCACTCGTAAACAGACGACTCGAAGACAAAACAAAATGATAGTTCTTAACCCATATTATCAGCGTCCAGGGTTGGGTAAGTTAATGTTTTTTTTTTTTTTAACTAAATTAAGTTAAAGTTAATGGCTTATAAAATTAATAAAATTAAGTTAAAAGTTGAAAAAATAAAGAATTAACTTAATAAAAGTTAAGTTAAAATTGAATTAACTTAAGTGTAAAAAAAGTTAATTTTGAAAAAAATTATTTTTGAGATCAAAATGTCCTAATTTTTCTTAAAATGAGATTACTTTAAATAAAACTTACAAATATAGATTATTAGGTAAATTTAATTTTATAGTCACATGTAAGTTACTTATATACATATAATAAGAGTCACACCATATAAGGCGTTTGTGTCAAAATCTTGCGAGAGAAAAGGATATATGTTTGCGTTATTTCTCTTTCTTTAACCTGTATCTAACTTTCTTTAACTTTTGAAATGACTGCTCATGCATGTTTACGACTATATCGACTAGATACTTGTTACAAAAAATATACGTGAAAATTTAGAAAATGGATGGATATGCATACTGTTCTACAACAATTCTTCATCTAAGGCTCATTTTATATTGATGTTACTGAAATATAACGTTTATGATACCTAAAATTAGTGTGATTTAAATATAAGCGGGAATTGACAAAACTTAGCGAGTCAATAAAAACTACCGTATGGTGTGGTTCTTATTATAGATCTCTCATCATAAAATCATTGAATTTTTTTAAAATTAATTCTCTAATGTTCGACTTTAAAAGAAAAAAAATATTAGCATTAAGAGAGATAGAAAAATTTTTAATTTAAAAAAGTTAATAAATTAAACTTTAAAAGCAACTAAATTAAGTTAAAAATTAATACATTTAAAATTAACTAAATTAAGTTAAAAGTTATTAACTTTTTAACCTTTTTTTTTAACTTTTAACGTTTTAACTAGTTACTACCTGCCAGCGTCACATCAGTGTCATTATCTTTAAAAAAAAAGTTTCGTTTAGAAAGTACAATGAAGATACGATTTAACTGTTAGTAAGACTTAACCAACTCTCCCCTATAATATATGAGTATAGTATTCACAAAACAATAATCATTTAATTTAATTTATAAGAATAATACATGCACGATTCTTTCATTATTAAATTTTACATTATTCGAAGAAATCTGAAACATAATTGTGAATTATTTTACCAAAAATATTATACATTATTATACAGAGTGTTTTTAGGCGTCGCGAGTTGCCGCTCGGTGCGATTGACTCGCGATCTGTACACTGAAAAAAAATATAGTCAATTTTAATAAATATTTAGTTGAATACTGCCAACTAAATATTTATTAAATATAAAGATATATTTATTTGATAAAAAAAATGTTAATTTGAATTAACAATTTTTTTTTTACTGAACAAATATTTATTTATTGTAAGTAAATGTTTAGTTGGCAGTATTGAACTAAATATTTATTAAAATTGACTATATTTTTTTCTCAGTGTAGATTCGAGTTCAATCCCACCTGCGCCCAGATACGCGATTTAATTTTCACGTTTAAGAAGCCGAAAATATAACTTCATCTGATGATTAGGGGATCTTTGATCAGCGCCGTGATCCGGTTCCAATATAAGATTATAATTATATTAGATGTTCTATTGATTCGATATCTTCGAAAGAATTTTATCAATGCAGCACTGACAAAACTTCAATTTTCTCGATGCAGCGTTGATAAAATGTCGATCTTCTTCAATACAAAATGTAGTCGATATCAAATTAAACGATTATCAACGGTTATATGTATATCAACGCTGCATCGAGAAAATCGACGTTTTATCAATGCTGCATCGATGAAATTATTTTTTAATTAAAAAAATTTTTTAATGCGCAATGTTTTTTTTATTTTATATATTTTACTTAATTGTACTTTAGTTAAATATAATATGTATATACATTTGTTCTATCTTATTGCATTAATTGTTTTCTGTCTATATATTTACCTCTCGAATCTTTATAGCATTGTACTAACTTATTTAATTAAAAACGAATTTTATTTTATGAGTAACTATAATGACTTGTTTAAAAAAAGATTGATATATTATTTAAACCAACCCGCGCAGTCTAAATGCCGATCGAAGTAAGGGACAGGAACCAAGCTGAAAATCGGCCGCAATGTGCAAGTAAATCTCAGCACTGATTTAAATGTTGCAAGTTTCGTAAATGGTTAAAAAAATGTAATATCGCATCTAAATATTGTCGATTTACACTCATTTTCAAATAGAGTTTTCAAGTTTGTTTGTATATACGTGTCGATGCATGGTTACAAAAATTGGATTACGCACTGTTAAATTTTATAGGGTCAAATTAACTCAATGTGAGTCGCCACTGCTCTCCTACTAAATATATCGTTATTTTTTACTAAAATGATAATTAAATTTGACACTATATAATGTTAAATTGATACTGTATAGTGCCAAATATAACCATTGTTTTAGTTAAAATTAATGATATTATTGAGTAGGAGCAGTGGCGACTCACATTGACTTAATTCGACCCTATAAAATTTAACAGTGCGTAACTGTCAATTTGCGAGGTAATAAAATAAATTATTTCAGACGCCCTGGAGGAGAATTGTACGGATTTTCAGGGTGGCACTGTCAAACACGGCCTCCTTTACGTGCCAGGACCTGCAGTTTGCAGTCTCTGCGTCTGCTATCATTCCGAGCCTATGTGGTGTCAAGCCATTTATTGTACGCCACCATACGTGAGTATATTCGAGAATATGAAGAATATATGTATATCTACGAGTAATTCGAACCCATATCCTCGGATCGAATTAATTCCTATAAATATTTTTTTACTCATTTGAATGCCTACGTTTTATTTTAGTGGAGGATCGAGGGGTTATTTTGTAAATTGTGACACACTTTAGTGTGTAGTTGCGTGTAATCACTTACTGTTTAATTTTTTGACCGACAGCGGTCCTTGTAGCTTTTTTTTTAATTATCGGAAGACAATAGCGCGTTAAAATTTTTTCATGCAAAAGGTAATTTCTTATTACTAGCGTAATAAGAGAGAGTTTCTAAATCACGACGCCTCAGACATGAGACAACACTACGAGAAAGAAGAATAAGAAAGAAAAAAATAACTGACTTGTGTGTTATAGTTTCGCAAATGAATCGCATTTCGCGAGTCGCGGTGACCTTGCAATTTACGCGCATGTACAGCATTCGTTGCTTTAACTGCATTTTTTAAATTATACTCTTTATATACCCATGTCACCGATTAGATCAATCAATGTCATACATGCGCTGCCATCTAAATTAGCACGCAGTTCCATGTCGTATACATAGTATATTACACGCACGTAATGATGATCGCTATGCCGTTAATAAACGCAATCGCCTATATTATAGTTCTCAAGTGAAGACTTTGAACAACTGTTACAACAAAATAAATATATTTACCTTAACTTAATAATATTAAACAATATTATTCTATATTAGTTTATTAATTAACTCTACAACGGCACACTTATTTTCAGCACCTTATTAGAACTGCACATATATGGATCATTTGTGTCCAACTCGATTTTGAGGCTGTTAAAATGCTTGAAAAATTCTTTAAAAATTTACACATGTTCTTTAAGGTCTCTATTAAATTATTTGGCTAGTAGATAAAGTTTGAAAAAAAAGTTTGGAAAAGTTATAAAAATTACGCAGGTAATAAAAACTGTTAGAAATGGCATGGACTGCATAGAATGATCCATGTTTGCCGTTGAAGAGTTAATAATAGACATAACGAAAAGAAAATAAGGTAACATATTTTGACACAACGTTATAATTTTTCTCATCAAATTTGATTTTTACAAAATAGTAATTTTCTAAAGTGGAAATTTTTTAAATTGTTTCTTATACTAAAAATAAAGTAAAAATTAGTGTGAGAGAAATTTTTACTATAACAATATTATTGTGTTAACATACCTTAAAAGTATATGATCTAAATTATATGTACCGATCAATAGAAAATTTTTTGAATAAAAGAGGATATATATATACATAATAAATAATAGAACAAGAAAAGCAATCTTTATAATAAATCTTATACATATTTGTATAAACGCTATTTTCTGTGAGAGAAGAACCATAGTATATTTTTAGATCTGGTTGTTTTTAACGATGTCTCAAATTATTAGAAAAACTTGTTCTCAAATACTGATCTGATTGTTTCGCAGAAATGCAAAAGATTCCGCGTGGGTGAACGCTGCTGTGAATTTGAGTGTCTCGACGATAGTGACGATTGGAGTGGCCCGGATGTGTACGACGCTGGCGGATCGTCCAAGATCCAAGAGCAGAGTTCTGTCCTGTACCTATTGAGCATAATATTGACCGCGTTATCGATAGTGCCTTAATTACGATCAGACGAGATCCGCATTGCAATTATCGTCGCCATAAACCCTTATCGGATATAATTCGCGAAGAATTCGTCCGTTAGTGATATTGGTGAAGATAATATATGATGATGACGACAGGATTACGTACAAAGAAACGACTCGAAGCAGATTTATTTCATACTGCGAATACGCAGTATTTTGGCGAACAGCATATTCTTCACCCGATGTAGCAATTAAGACGTCCATGTAGCGCGAGCTTAGTTAAGGGCGGAGGGAGAGAGAGAGAGAGAGAGAGAGAGAGAGAGAGAGAGAGAACTGGAATTTCTTCCAGTAAACCGATTTAATTAAATTGAAGATTGAGCAAGTCTCACTGTTTAAATAATTATAACAAATTGAATGAGAAAACGGAATATTTATTTTGTGATTAATAAATAACAAAAGTCGATATAATCGTTTCGATCGATAGTTTCAATATAATAATTATTGTTATTGCATCATATGCCAAATTAAAAAAAGTGTTTTTTCATTTCTTTCATAATTTTGATAAGAGCAATTTATAAACACTTTATAAGAAGTTAAGTATAAGTTGGGTTTGGAGCATATACACGCAAACGCAAAGTCTTTTTCATTTTCTTGATTTTTTGTTTTCTTTCAAAATCCATTTCCTCATATTTTTCCACTTTGTTAAATTCGACATGATAACACTTATCAGACGCCATGCGAACTAGATATCGAAATTCTACACGTATTCAAACATCAAGGAATGACGTGGGTAGCTCTTGGAATAATTCGAACACTCACAATCAGATGTCAGCCACTGTCATATAAGAGACGTACTTGATCTCGTTTCGAAGTAAAATTCAGCATTTTGTTTTGTTTATAGAACATGTGCAATATAATGCATACAAAATTATCGTCAGAAAATTATTTCATTGTTCAATTCTCAATCAGCTTTCTCGGCTTACTAATTCTCGAGAATGCGATCATCTAAGCGATATCGTAATCGTAATAATGAATGATATAAAAATTGGCGAGACATCTGATTCTGATTGCCTTTGATAATATTCGCGCACGATGGACGATCAAAGGAAACTGAAAACGAAGAACTGAAAATTGAGACATTGTGCACGCGTGTGCACGTATAACAGATCAAAATTTTTATTTTTCCAATATCGCGAAACAATGTGATAACGAACGTGTTAGATTGAGAGATTAGTGCGCGATAACGAATACTGGAAAATTCGAGTGCGTAATATTCTAATTCTTTGCTTAAAAGAGAGACTCGTTTCAATTTCCAATTCAATCGTTTTTACCGTTCGTTCGCTTTGCTTATTTATGCCGGTAAACAACCGTTTCTTTCGAAAACACACTTTCTTATGAATAAAATGCATCATATTAAAATGCATACTATTTCGATATCCCGACAATATATAACTCTTTCACTCGCTTCCATATAAGTATTACAAAACATTTCGATTATTCTTATTCCAACTAACACTCGATTACCAATTAACTATTATTCGCACGACATTTCAAAGCGACGATAATTATAATAAGCGCCTGAATTTTCATGCGATATAATATAAGCTTTAATTATAATTACTGTCGATTTGCAATACCGCGCCATTAATTGTTGGCCGATAAATTAGCTGAAGCATAAATTGTAATATACGAACAGTTTAACATCTCGAAATTTGACAATTAGTAATTGAAATTAATAAACGATGTGCGAATGCGACTTTGGAATCTTTTCATAGAGTCACAGAATTACCTTATAACGCTTGTTGGAAACTATCTAAAAAAAAAAGAATTGACTGCTTTTAACAAAATGTGACACAGTATTCTAATGCCACAACACCAGCCATAAAACAGAGCAACATGGGGCCATACAAATTATATAATAATAATATAACATACACACACGAATGTGCTTTCTTGGTCTTTTCATGACAAAAGAAAATATGTGCAAATGAAAATACGGTGCTATTATAAGTAATTTGTCGCTGTAAGGAACATAACGCTGTATATCACAAATATTATAATATTTGAGAGTCTGCAGTATTGCGACACCACGTATTCCAGTAATTGCGCACGTATGCTTGCCTGTGATATACTTTTACGGCGTTTGATTATTGCCCTTGTCCTTAGATTACAATAACTTTGCGAATCTCAGAGGTTTAGTGCTGTGAATGTCTCTGACAAAAGCAACCCGAACCCTTAAAAAATTGGAAACAAAGAAAGATGAGGAGAAGAAACAACCGTAATCACGTTAAGGATGGCGATAGTAATAATTATCTAATAATAATATATTGATTAATGTAATATTTATAATCGATTAATTACGTGGAAATTCTATTTACTATGTGAAAAAAGAATTGTTATATGGAAGAATTATTATTCTTTTAAATGATATTTATCCTTAAGATTCTACAAACATACGTTATATTTAATGCTAATAAAAATGTTCTACAATCTTGGACTGCGCAAGAAGTCATAAGAGAAAACCATGAGATTGTAGGTAACACGAATAATAATGTTATATGTGTGAATTAAGATCTACTCTGTCACAGAGAGTATTTGCGAATAATCATGTCTACACTCAAAGGCGCATTCGAATAATCCAGCGCGAACTGGCCCGGATTGCATATAGTATAATAATTTATATATTTTTTATTTCACAGATATATATCTTTCGATCCATTACATGGAAATTCACATTTTTGCACGACTACTTTAATAATCATTTGTAATATGTCTCCGTTGTTAACAGTTGCTCACTTATTATCTAATATTTATGTCACATTCAAGCGTTGAAGGCAATCTTTCAATCGCGTCAATTTGAGGTACTAAACATCTCAATTGAGCCGCTCTCAATACCGAAGGCGGACTAATTTCGACTTGCATTTGAATTTTATATAAGTGCATTGTCTAAGTTTTGCGCAAAAATCAAGGCCAAGTTCGACAAGCGGTGCTATTGAAGCCATTTGAGTGAGTGCAATAAAAAGAATGTTTAAGATTAAATTATTATAGCTTATATACAATGGATTAGAGATGTGCGATACGTGTACTTTTACTATCGATACGCGTATTGCACATCTCTACAATAGATACGTTTATAGTATGTGCGATACTTGGCTCGGATGTGATCTAGTTTTTAATACAATATAATGTTGATTTTAAAAAAGTTTTAAAAAAAGTTTTGCCAAATTTTTCGATGCTTCGCGGATATGCTCAAGATTTAAATTAAAATATACTTGTATCACTTTCTAAATATTTTAAAAAGAAAGTATAAAGGATTTCATGTTTAGATAATGTACATTATGTATAATATCTCCGAGCCATGTATGATAATAAATTTTGAATCGAATTTATTTAACTTTTATCGTCTCATCTTGACGGGACGATAATGACATCCTTGGCTGGTGGGAAATATAAAATGACACTTTTCCTAAAAGCCTCACCAATACTTTTACTCTCTTCTTTATCTCTATTCTTTACCAATACTTTTACTCTCTATTATAACCTGTCCCAATTCAGTAAAAAGAATTATTAATCGACCAATTCTTTTAAACTTATTTATAAAAACCTGGTGTACTCTTTTACAAGAAAAATGATACAAACATATATATATATATATATATATATATATATATATGTAAATAAGCTAGAGGATAGCTTTAATATTACAATATGTACTTTTCACATAGTTATATCATGTAATAATCAAGAGGCCTTTTATGTATGAGTGATCATTTAGAATCCATTATTATGAACTTACAATAAAATTTAATCCAAAATATTAAACAAACTTGAATATGGTTTTGGGTTGAACGAATCTTTCTTTAATTCCCTCGAGTAACAAAAAAGTATGTCAATAGATTTAATAATAAAACAAAAGTAAAAATTTGTACATCAAATAATATAAAGTTTATTCATAAGATTTTTGCCGGCAATTATATTTATAATATCGTATCGCATGGGTCTTTACAACACGTGTAGATACAAAATACTTATCTATATATAAAGTATTCGAGAAATTGTAAAAATGAAAATGTAAAATTGAAAATGTAAAATTGAAAGCCCTTACCCATAAATAGCTAATCATCATATAGGATTGCCTATAATGATACATGCGAGAAATTACTTAATGACGCATGAGTATTATCATCATCGTCGTATCTTCCTAATTTTCTTTCTTCCAAATAGTGTCATATAGATCTGTACGACGTTGATTAAAGACCGGGATTTGCTCTCTGACTTCGTCCACAATTTTTAAATCTGTAATAATGTATTATTTCGATGTAAGATATAGTTATATGTTATTAAGATGCCAATGTTACAAATATATAGATTTATATATAAATTTTTTATGTCGCCTAATTTATACGTATATTTATATTTTATATACAGTTGTATACTTTGTTTGACGTTTTTCGTATTAATTGTAAGTATATAATAAATTATAATATTTCTATTAATTGCACGTATTGAAGAAGTAAAAGAATTATATGTAACTGTTCAAACACAATAATTGATTGCAATTAAAAAAATATTTCTTTTTACCGCATAGAAAATATTTAATTTTTTTTAAATATTCTGATTTGTAACTTGCAAATTGTGCCGTTTAGTCATTATTCTATTGCAGAATAAATTTACCTATATCAGAGACTATCATATTTTCGATGGCATCCAACTCGCCAAGTATTTCTCCCCAAGGATTGGTTAACTGAGTATGCCCCCAAGCAACGTATCCAGGCGGCGAGCCACGTGCCGGCGACACACAGGCTACGTATAATTGATTGTCGTTTGCTCTGGCACGCTGTAGCAGTGACCAATGCAGCGGGCCAGTGGTCATGTTGAATGCCGCCGGGTACACCAGCAGCTGACAACCTGATATCGTCGTCGTAGAATAAAATTTAGAGGCATAGTTTGAGAAGTAAAATCATCTCAATTAAATATTCTGCCACATACTTGTAATATATGTGTAAATGATCATTTACATACAGATAAATTGCTTAAGAAATTCGGATGCAAATACATTCAAAATACATTTACATACGTAAGGATATAAATTCGTATGCAAATTTAATATTTTTTAATTACTGAATGAGATTAAAAAAGAAAATTATAAAAACTGTCATATAAGTATTAACTTTACTAATAGAACTAAATTTAAATCGATCTATTTTCTTGTAAAAGTAGCAATTCATAAATCATGAGAAAAATAAAAGATATAGCAATTATTTTTTTAATGATGTTGCATGACGATTATTATAGCAATTGCACAAATTTGAACATAACAAGAAAGGAATGAGTATTCCTGTTATACATATATATATATGTATATATATCAATTTGTCATATTATATATTAAAATACAACGTTCACCTTTGTTTCTATATAATCGCGCCATTTCTTCGAATCTGATATCGTAGCAAATGCCAATACCGATTTTACAACCTTTCGCTTCAAAGATAGTAAGGGAATTGCCGGCGGATAGGGAGTCACTCTCGCGAAAAGTAATTTTTCCCTTAATGTCAATGTTGAATAAATGCATCTGTGAAGAAGAAATTTAATACTTAAAGTGCACCCTGTTTCATATAGCACATGTTTCGTGTAGAAAAAAATCTATTTATATACTGTACACATTTCCCTCTTTCAACTTTTCTTTTAAGTAAATTCTTTACTTTAAATTAATAGCTGAAAATATATTTAAATATTCAAATATTTAAAATATATAGAATATATGTATACTTTCGAAAAACAAGAAATGTATCCTTGTAAAAAATATATGTATATGCACGCGCGCGCGCGCGCGCGCACGCACGCACACACACACACACACACACACACACACACACATGTATATTGAAATATTTTAAAGAAAACCACCTCTCGCATTCACATGTACGCGCATGCACATTTACACAGAACATTTTTACAACGTTGTATATACCGGGTGTTTCAGATCACCCGTCCGACCCTTTTATCTTCGCAGTATAAGGTCCAAACGAAAAAAGTGTTCAGACAAAAGTTGTAGGGTTTCTAAAGACCTATTTACTGGCGCTATGAGTTTGATCTTAGGTGGCATCGCCAAGGTCAGGTCAAGATCACATCGATTTTTTAAAATGGAATTCCTTATCTTTTATTACATTTTCTTGTAGCTTACCTCGAGAGCTTTTCAAAGCACTATAATAAAATATTTTTTCATTAAATATTTTTCAAGTTATAAAGCTCGAAAGTTACAGTACAATCGGCATTAGCATTACGCAAGTTGTCCGACCGACGGCCAAAACCTCTTGAGTATTGTTCAGGATCATGTCCTGAATAACGTTTGTCAAGATCAAGGCCATTGCAAGCTGTACCTCTTATTTTCATTTTTGCACTAAAAATTCATTTTTACGTAAAAAGGAAAATAAGAGGTACAATCACCAGTGAACTTAATCTTGACAAATGTTATCCAGGACATGATCCTGAACAACATTCAAGAGGTTTTAGCTGTCGGTCGGATAACTTGCATAATGCTAATACCGGTTAACTTTCGAGTTTTGTAACTCGAAAAATATTTAATAAAAAATATTTTGTTATAGTGTTTTGAAAAGTTCTCGAGGTAAGCTACAAGAAAATATAATGAAAAATAGGGGATTCCATTTAAAAAAATCGATGTGATCTTGACCTGACCTTGGCGATGCCACCCAAGATCAAACTCATAGCGCCAGTAAATAGGTCTTTAGAAACCCTACAACTTTTGCCTGAACACTTTCGATTGAACCTTATACTGCGAAGATAAAAGAGTGGGACGGGTGGTCTGAAACACCCGATACATCAATATTATATAATGTACAACATCGATTTCAGTAACCTTCCTATGCATAGCTACGAGTTTTCCATCTGGTCCCCATACGGTGCAGGTGTTGTATAATTTGTCGTTGTTTCTCTCCGGTATTGTACCACCAATCACGTAGACATTGTTCTTTCTTGCTGCCTCGGACAACGCCGCACTCGTCTCACCGTCCGGAATGTTCTCGGCATATCGAGCAAAGTGAGCTATTTGTGTTATAGGAAACATCAATAAAACATGATAAATCAGTAAATAAGTAATGTACATATATAAAATTATATATATATTTAGCATAAAAATATTGATCTTTATTGAAAATATAAACGAAATACTATAATTATTTCTAGCTTCTAAGATTTTATTTATTATACAGGGTGGGGAAAAAGTATGGAAGCAAACAATTATTTCCGAAACTATTCATTTTTCGACAAAATGTCTTAGACATAATTTTTATGGTATGAAAAGATGTATTATGTGGCA